TTTTATTACGTATTTTTTTAATGAAATATGATCCAGTGCACATGTTAGTCTTTTGTATGCCTATTCCACAATGTCCTTCCTTACATATTGACCACCGATTCTCGATTGAATTTAAATCAGGAGAGATTCCGGGCCAGTCTATAGTCATTTGATTTGCTCACTGGTAAGAATTGCCAGTGTGTTCGCGCAGCATTACAATTTTCGTACGCTTCCTTGCAGTAACGTCCATCGCAGACAATGGCCGTAGGACAACTAATCGACAATCGAGTCAATAGTGTCTGGGCGTGATAAAAATCTCATGCAATCATGGATGGCGCAATATGTTTCAAGGCGAAACAAATTTCATCATACACCCCCAAAATAAATTTATATTACTGCACACCACTGCAAATGACCTAATCTGAGGAAAAAAAGAGAAATCAATTACACCCGGTGACTGTTCGTATGGTGAAAGAAAGCAAACTGAAGCGGTTGCTTCAATTAATTTGCAGAAGGGTGTATATGGATAACGATATATAAATTGTTATATATCAAGAACAATTTGGAGGAAAGAGTTAAGACAAAGTAGAAAACGTTTTCGTGTGACGCGTTTCGACATTTAGGAAGGTATTTAGTCGGATGAAGGATAATGAAAATATATAAATTCACATTCCTCATATGTTTAGGTTTTATTATAATTCCAATCGTCGCATTTTAAAACAATAAACATTGCGGAGAATTAAAGGTAGTTAAAATAATAGCGTCGTCAAAGGAAAAACAAACCTTTTGACACTCTTTGACACTCTATTTGAGATAGAATGTTATGGAAGCCATGATAACTCTGATCCCGGAATTACCTGACACAAAATAATACTGGAGTTATGCTCCAATCTATATCTAAAATTATATGACTTCCGTTAGTCCATCCATTCGTCCGTCCGCCCGTCACACCCTCTAAAATAGCCATACATTGACCGATCAAAACTAAATTTTGGGAAAAAACAGCCTGGACAAAGTACAGTTGGTTTTACTAGGGTGCATAGCTTACAACAATAAATTTGCCTTTTTAGAAAAATTAAAAATATTATTTAACATACAAAATACTTCCTGCACTTTCTGCATATGTTTAGGTTTTATTACATTTGTAATAATCTGTTTTTAAAACATTGCCGGGGAGTGAAGGTAGTTAAAATAATAGCGGTGTTAAGGTAAAAGTCATCCTTTTAACACACTATTCTTTTTGTGGGCACGAAGATTGCCAAACACAGTATGTAAAAGAAAGAAGCAGTTGTAGTAATTCCTCTTTCTCCCAGTTCCATGAAACATTTTGGCAAGGCAGCAGAGAAATATTTACCGATAATATTCCTCCTACGTTTGTCTGTCACCTGGAATATTTTTCGATAGGTTCTTTTATCGATCTGTCGTGCTTCTTTTTTTTCTTTTTAGGGCGTGGGGTGTTCTAATTTAATGATGATATCAGTCAAATGCCATTCTATGTCTCCCGCGGCTTCTACTGCACGCTTTCCTCATGGAAATTCCCTGGGAAAATTAGTAATCCGAAGAATTGAAAGAATGCGTAAACGAAAATAATTTTTTTTTTTTTTTTAAAAAAATGTATTTAGGCAAAATAAATATCGAATAAAAGCGACGATAGGAAAACCGAAAGTGAATGAATCATGAATGTAGATGAATAATTTATATAAATACACACACGCACATACCCCTGCACACACATACACACGCTAGCATACCAATAAACACATTTGTGCCAGCATGCATACACAGGTACATACACACACCCATATAGTGATTTTCTAAGCACAACTTAGATACGGCACAAGGCCTAAAGTATGGGACACCCGGTGAGGATCGAACTCACTACTCAGTTGTAATAGATCTAGCAAGACATGCTTTCTAACCATTACACCACGTCGAGGTGCCCATACATATCATCATCTTGCGGCCTCAGCCGAGATTGAACTCACCAATACTTTGATTGGTGTAGTTCATAATCTTGTCAAGTAGCTGAATTCTTGATGCTTCGCTAGGGCTATCAAGGGTGTTTTTATCGTGACACCAACACTAAATGGATTGCCAACCAAGGCTCAGAGAGACTCTATTCACCCTCCTCTGAGAACAGGTTTGAATTCAGAGTTTTCCATCTCCTAGACCAGTTGCCATCCAAGGCTATAGAACCCAGTCTGTCCTGCTATTTTACCAATAGCTGGAGGGAGAAGAAAGAAGATTCACACCTTTCCCAAGGGTGTTAGCACATAAGTGAATGTAATGGATTCGACTGGAATTCGAACTCGGCTCTCCGATTCCCCAATCCAAGCCGATATCCATTACACCACCGTGCCTCCAGGGCCGGTGCAAAGCTTTCGTAGCCCCCCAACCCGAATCTATGATACGCCCCCCGAATCTATTTATGCTACATCCACACTATCTACTACATCTCATTTTTCATAAGTTAGTATTCATATAAAATACAAATTTTATTGTCACCTAATTATGCACAATAATGGATCATATGCAATATAGGTGAACATTTCGACAGTAAAAATTGAAAATAAATACAGTGTATCTAAATACAAATTTAGAGACCTGTCATAAAATAGATCATTCCATCTTAAAATAAGTCAACGATGTTTTTTCCGACAATTTTTAACATCAACTTGAGATTTTTTTTTTCTTGTTAAAAACTGTAAGAAGTTTAGCGCATTCAACATTATGGAAAAAAAAAAATAGTGAATTTTATCTAACGTTTTCGTCGAGCATGAACAAAACAAATTCATGGATTTGGACGACAAAATAAAGAGAGGAACCCGGACGAGGCTCAGCCGAAGGGCAGATTCCCGTTCGGGGAGGTTGACCAACATGATCCCGTTTATACGGGTTCTACGGGTATTTTTTTTGGCCGAGCCTACGGGCTCGGGAAACCCACGTTAAACTCGGCCTTGTGCCACATGCAACCCGCGTGGGGGGGGGGTGGCTAGATACCGAATCGGTCGAACTCTCTGACACTGAGCAGAGAGGAACCCAGACGAGGCTCCGCCGAAGGGCAAAGTCTCTTTCGGGGAGCTTGACCAACCCGATCTCGTTTATACAGGTTCTACGGGAATTTTTTGGCCGAGCCTACGGAACACTCATGGGGGGTGGCTAGATACCGAATCGAGTCGAACCGATAGTAGTTCACTCCAAACCAGGCTGACAGTCATACTAACACCTTCCACAACTTGTATTATTATTTCGTGTAATATACCTTCGTTATTTCTACTCTTGTGTTCGTGTTGTTCTTCCTAACCTGGATCATAACACTTAGCAATTTCAACTCTTTAATCCTGAGACCTATGTAACAATCTAGTAAAGCACTTAAATTCGTTAAGTTGGGGTACCAAAGACGAAAGCTCATCAGAACAATTACCATAAAAATATTAATAGGAAAGGCAGAGGGAAGCTACGTTATGCCGGTGGGAAAGTGATTGAACCAGAGATGCCAGGACAGGATTGATAACATTGCAGATTCTTCGTTGGAATTTGTCAAGAATCTCGTAGTACATATCAGAAACACCAGGACGCCGCAACGTGGTGTAATGGTTAGCAAGCTTGTCTCACTAGAACCATTACAACTGAGTAGTGAGCGTGATCATCACTGGGTGCACCATACTTTCGGCCTTGTGCCACATGTGAACTGCGCTGAGAAAATCACCAGAATCACCGGACTGGATCCGGCAGCAAAACCTCTGATTGGGCGATGGGAGCTTTTTAAGTAGCATAGAACCATCTCGTAATTGCTGTTGTTCTCATGTCCACCCTAGCCTGAGGTGGTAGCACCTGTTAGGGTTCCCAGTTATGGTCAAATGGTGACCCCCCCAAACAAAACCAAAACACTCTGAAAGTATAAAAATATTTTTTTATATAAAAATTACCAATGCTACAGCGTCGTGGGTAAGACGATAAACTACGTCCGGCAGCAAAACCTCTGATCATGGTGTCTTAATTGCTGGTGTTTCCAGGTCGACCTTGACCCGGGGTGGCAGCACTTGTTAGGGTCCCAACTATGGGCAAATAGTGAACCCCCAAACTGAGGTCAAAACACTATGAAAGTGTAAAAATAGATTTTAATACCAGTAATACTTTGTAAAAAGAATTAATACCAGCAATAATTAAATTACCAGCAATAAAAATCTTGTCGGCATTTGTACAATGCACCGACTATCCTATCGGAAGACTTAGTAATTGACTCATTCTAATTCATATCAATGCAAAAATTAGACCGAGAAATCGAAATAAATTGCTCTCCGGGAGTTTAGCATGATCCACGCTGTTAGACGTCATAAAAGCATCTTTAAGACTATTAAAATATAACAGTTTAGTTTTGAGAGGCTGAGGATCAGTCCTCACGGGTCGTCCCGTACTTGTAACCACGCGTCAAAACTAAATTAAACTAAGCTTAGTATTTTCCATTTGCCTCGTGGCAAATTCGGCTAAATTTACTAAGTAACGTGTAATTCAGAGATTTTCAAACTGGGGGTAATTATCACCCATAAGGCGTAATTTGAGGCTTTCCGGTTGGTAACAGCAACTATTTGCAATTCAGTTATAAGAGAAGGGCTAAGAATATTAAGTTTTCCAGTACGCCCCTGACAATTTTTGGTTTAGCGAAATGAGCGCAGTTAAAATTCTGGAGGGGATTTATCTCACCTAAAATTTTAGGAACCACTGAACAAAGATGGTATATTAAATATAAGATGGAGAAAGAATCTAGAATAGGGGCCAGAGGCGCGTGCGCAAACTTGTTAAGTTGAAGATTTTTTATTAATCGTCAGTAACACACACACACACACACACACACACACACACACACACACATATATATATATATATATATATATATATATATAGATAGATAGATAGATATGAACAGACAGAGATACATAGATAGATATGAACAGACTGAGATTAGATAGATAAATAGATATGAACAGATTGAGAGAAATAGATAGATAGATATGAATAGACTAGAAGATAGATAGATAGATAGATATGAATAGACTAGAAGATAGATAGATAGATAGATAGATAGATAGATATGAACAGACAGAGATACATAGATAGATATGAACAGAGATTAGATAGATAAATAGATATGAACAGATTGAGATAGATAGATAGATAGATAGATAGATATGAACAGACAGAGATGCATACATTGATATAAATAGACTGAGATTAGATAGATATGAACAGATTGAGATAGATAGATAGATATGAACAGACTGAGATACATAGATATGAACAGACTGAGATTAGATAGATAAATAGATATGAACAGATTAAGATAGATAGATAGATAGATAGATATGAACAGATTGATAGACTAACTTGAGATAGACTATTTTTTTTCGTATTTTTCCCAATGAAATATGACCCAGATTTTTCCCAATGAAATATGACCCAGATTCCAAGATGTCGTTTCTTGCAGATTGACCACATATTATCGATTGGATTTAAATCAGGAGAGTTTCCGGGCCAGTCTATAGTACTTTGATTTGCTCACTGGTAAGACTTGTCAGTGTGTTCGGGCAGCGTTACAATTTTCGTACGCTTCCTTGGAGTTACGGCCATCGCAGACAATGACCGTAAGACAACTAATCGACAGTCGAGACAATAGTGTCTGGATGTGGTTAAAATCTGATGCAATCACGGATGACACAATATTTTTCAAGGCCAAGTAAATTTCTTCATACACCCTGCGAATAGATTCATATTACTGCACAACTACAGAAATTGCCTCATCTGAGGAAAAAAATAGAAATCATTTACACCCTGTCACTCAAGTGGGTGTAAAATTGTCCGTATGGTGAAAAGAAGGAAAATAAGCGGCTGTTTCAATTAATTTGCACAATGGTGTATATATATATATATATATATATATATATATATATATATATATATATATATATATATATATAATCGTCGAGATTAGACGTATGAGGGTCAAGCAGATCAGTTTCAGGAAACCGACAGCCCAACATCGGCACATGAGATTTGATTATAGTGGTGAAGGTTTCGTGCATGGCCACCCACACATTTTGAAGGGACGAATACAGTGACATGGTGCATTGAGTGCCACAAGGTTCCCAAACGACCCTCCGCAGGTTTTTGAATTCAGAGTTGTCCTTCTCCTAGACCAGTTGCCATCCAAGGCTATAGAACCCAGTCTGTCCTGCTATATATATATATATATATATATATATATATATATGTGTGTGTGTGTGTGTGTGTGTGTATTTCAGAGCAATGAAATCCTAACGGATAAAACGCGTCACAAAAATACTTTTCCAGTTTTCATATTTTTCTACATAAATGAATAAATTTAACGAACTCGATTGGAATTTGAACTCGGCTCTTCAATTTCCAATCCCAAGTTTCTATCTATTATACCACCCGAACACCCAAGCTTACTGCACCTGGTATGACCAAGCGGTTACCAATCTAGGTAGTTACTAGTCTCGACGTTGCTTAACTTCGGTGAGTGTACGAGAAAAGGTGTTTTAACTTGATATGGCCGTAAGCCAGCAGACTGGAGAAAACAAAACAAAACTTCTGTAAGAAGCGGATGAGAGAGTGAGAGAGAGAGAAAGAAAGAGAGAGAGAGGGGGGGTGGAGAGAGAGAAAAGAGGAGGATATAGAGACCGGTGGGGGTGGAAGGGAAGCGAAAGAGACAAGAAGGGAGAAGTAGAGAGATAGAAGAGCAAGATGATAAAGAGAAAGAAAAAGAGAAAGCAAACGCGATAGAGAGAGGCAAGGCAAGAGATTGATAGAGAAGGCGAAAACGTTGCTTGTCTTGTAATGAAAAAAAAAAACCCAAAAAACAAAACAAAAAAAAACGGCTGTACTGGTAATCAACGCGTCAAAAGGAATGAAACGCCGACAGCGTGAAGGCATGAAACTGAAACGTTCGTAACATGATGGTGATCTTGCTCATCTTGGAATTTTCCTTTAGTTGATCAGTTACTCAGGGGAATTAATCAAACGGCTTAGTATAAATCTTATGGAACTCTCCTGTCATTCTTTTCATTCCGTCGGGACGGAATATTGTTAAAAATTGTCAAACACTGTCTTTTATTTTATTTTTATTTTCTTAAGTCATGTTGAAAAATATCGAACGAATTACGTCAATCATTTTGTTTGTTTAATAATAATAATAATAATATGAGAACATCAACAATCGACTCAGTGAAAGGATTCCTGGTAGCTCATGTCTTAAAGAAATACAAAAATTGTACTCACATGTACAGCCCACACATTACGAAGGGCTTTATCTATGTAAAATATGTGTTTTTTCAAAATTGCTCAGTTGAAAATGTCATGATGCCATTTCTGACTTCGGTCTCTGGTCGGAACCCGGAACCCGGAAAGAAATTAGTACATACCAGAAATCAAAGGAAATAATAATCGTTGCAGTTTTTTGTGTATTTATACTGTAACTAGTGAGTTAGTTCAAATGCCTTGAATCACTTTATAGTCTACCAATAGAAGGTTAACCAATCAGAAACAGCAGAACATTCTATCCGTCGTGTATAAAGGCGGCCATTTTTGTTTATCCTACCCGAATGACCAGTGCCAACTTGTCAGGCGAACACGACAGAAGGAAAAACTACGCTCTGCTACTTTGCTGCGATATCCACTGCTAACCTGAACTACGCTTTCCTACTGTCTCTGAAATATTCACTGCTAACCTCTGGATTCTATACTCGAAGACGACCGTCATAAAATGTCTAATAATAATAATAATAATGAGGAAGAGGAGGAGTAGGAAGAGAATAATAATAATAATAATAATAATAATAATTTGTGAAATACATCTTCCAGATGCTCTGGCACACATTATCAGTGATGCTTTCGCCTGTGGATCCTTAGGGCCCTTCGGGTATTACAACATTACACCCCTTCCCCACGGGGATCCAATCGATATTAATCAGATATCGATTTGTGTGCCAACCGTCAGCTCCAACTCTTCTCAGAATGGAACGCTATCCCAACCCACTGCAACAAAAGAACTCAACATGCACGTTAAAAAACAAAAACAAAAGCACACCCTATGTGTTTGTTGGGTGGGAAACATTGTAACCATTGAAACAGGTGCTATATCTCAATTAAATATCACCTGTATTAAAAAATGGATCGGAGAACGCTAATTCTGTCCCCTAGCCAAGACTTCATTGCCGGATGTAGTTTTAGGCCATACACATGACCATTAATAATAATAATAATTTAATATAATAAATCTCTCTCTCTCTCTCTCTCTCTCTCTCTCTCTCTCTCATATATATATATATATATATATATATATATATTCACACATGTTTCACTAAATAATATAGACAAATGTTGTCTATTTATTTTATGTAAATTCTTTTCATAACGTCTGATAAGCTTAATAACATTATCATTAAACGAAGAAAGAAAATCACAATATTAACATTTACCGGCCTGAATGTCCCAGAAAATTTCATTGAAAATGTTCGTCCTTTGAAATTACTTAAATACTTGTATCTATAAAAAGAATGTTAAACATAAAAATGTCTTTAATAAATTGTCGGACTTTGTCCATTTCTTAATATATATATATATATATATATATATATATATATATATATATATATATATATATATGTTTATATATATATAGTTTTTTGTATATACATATAGTTTATATATATAGTTTTATATATATATATATATATATATATATATATGCATTGTTGATAATATTATTTTTCAAAAATGTATTGCGTATAATAACATTTTTTTACCAAAAATGTATTGTTGATAATAATTTTTTTTTTTACCAAAAATGTATTGCTGATAATAATTTTTTGTCAAAAATGTATTGCTGATCATGATTTAAAAAAAAAAAAAAAGTATTACTGATAATAACTTTTTTGCAAAAGTTTATTTCTGCTAATAATGTTTATTTTTATTTTTTTTTCAAAATGTATTGTGATGATATTTTTTTCAAAAATGTATTGCTGGTAATTTTTTTTCAAAAATGTATTGCTGTTAGTAATTTTTTTCATTTTTGTTTTGGCAGGGGGGGGTAACTATTTGTCCATAGCTGGGACCCTAACAAGTGATACCACCCCAGGTCAGGGTGCCCCTGAGAACAACAGAAATTAAGAGGTGGTGCCACGCTTCCCAAAACCGCCTTGATGCCGAATGTAATTTATCGTCACAGGACGCCTCATTGTAGCTCGTGGGCGGGGGGTTACCCCCTCTGCTGAAGTGCAGTCAGCGTATTCTGAAGACCCTGCCGACAGGGCGGAAAACACATTTGTTACATTAATTAATGAATAAAGACAAAAAGAAAACTTATCGTAACCGATGCGTTTTCGCACGCCCCCTCCCCCGTGGTTTTTTTTTTTTATTCATTTTGTTCTTTTACAGATATGCTCTGAAATATTTGCATATAAATTGATATATGCCAAAATTCTCTTAATTAATTAATGCCTATCTTCCAGATGATTAAAGAGAGAGAGAGAAAAGTAATTCTGACAAGACCTCCGACCATTCCCGACGCCACCAATGATGTTAATAACTGGAAGAGCTTCTTAGTCAAGCAGAAAACTTTCAGCATACCACCAGTCTGAGTCAAGGTATCCAATAAACACTCCTTGTTAAAACCAATTGGTGGCCTGAAGCTATTTAATCAGGGTAAACCTAATTTCTGTGCAGCTATAAAAGAGGAACAAAGTTTTATTCCCTATTCAGGCAACTTTGTCTGTGTATAATGAGCGTTATTAAAATTCTAGAATGGGAATCACCGAATTAAGTCAGTCAGTTATGTAACATGCGTGATACACACTTAGGCGATCATGTAGCTTTCGATACATGACTGACGAGGCAGATTTTTTTTCCTCCGCAGTAGGTTGCCATTTCTTTCCGCGGTAGACCAGTTGCCATCCAAGGCTATAGAACCCGGTGTGTTCTGCTACTTACCCATAGCTGAGTTGCGAAGAAGAGGATTCATACCTTTCCCAAGGGTATTAGCACATCAGCCAGTTATGTGCCATGCATGATACACACTCAGGCGATCATATATCTTTCGATCCATTTTTCCTCCGCAGTAGGTTGCCATTTCTTTCCGCGGTAGACCAGTTGCCATCCAAGGTTATAGAACCCAGTCTGTCTTGCTATTTACCCATAGCCTCAGAAGAAGAAGAGGATTTATACCTTTCCAAAGGGTCAGTCAGTCAGTTATGTGCCATGCGTGATACACGCCTAGGCGATCATGTATCTTTCGATACATGACTGACGAGGCAAATTTTTCCCACAGTAGGTTGCCATTTCTTTCTGCGGTAGACCAGTTGCCATCTAATGCTATAGAACCCGGTCTGTCCTGCTATTTACTTATAGCTGTGGGGGAGAAAAGGATTCATACCTTTCCCAAGGGTATTAGTACGTCAGCCAGTTATGTGCCATATGTGATACGCACTTAAGCGACCATGTATCTTTCGATACATGATAGACGAGGCAAATTTTTTTCCCCACAGTAGGTAAATTTCGTTAATACTGTTTATTATAAACAGAGCATTTACTTAAATATTTGTATCTACAAAAAGAACGTATAAACATACAAAAATATCTTAAAATAATTGTCGGACTTTGTCCATTTCATAATGTGTGACGTCATTTGTTTAAATTTGGATACGCATCGAGCAGATATGAATGTACGAGAGAAAATCATGGAGAATTGTAAGTTTAAAAACAGTAAAATCGAGTCGCTCCTCTGTGGCTAATCGCTCCCGAAACGCTCCTCTGTAGCTAAATCGGTAAAAGCACGTTAGGCTATATGACGGTTCCGTATAGGATACAGGTTAGATTCCTGTCGGAGGATGCATATTTTCTATGAAAATTACTCGGACATTCAGGCCGGTAAATGTTAATACTGTTTATTATAAACAGAGCATTTACTTAAAAAATAGTGGATTTTACATAGTGTTTTTCTGAGCAAAACAGATTCACGGATTTGGAAAAAAGGAAGACTCCAGAATGATATCAAAATCAGCGAAGATTTTCATCCTTTAATAGTTGTATTTAGTTTAATTTGTAACGTATACAAATGTAGGTAGAAAAAAAGCAATGCTGATAAGACAGCGAGGGTCACAAAGCTCTGCCCGGGGCCCCCAATCAAGCTCCTCTCAGCCGGGTGGTTTGGTTGTAGTATTGACTGCAGATGACAACAATTTCAACCTTGACTCAACTGTGAATGACTTAACTTAAACTGTGACAGATTTTACAAGTCACTGAATGTACTAATTAGCGATTGCGTAGACCGTACAATTCAGATCGTTCAATAACATGAAATAAGTTTTGAAGTAAAGGTCTCTAAAAAAAAAAAAAAAAAATGTTTAATAATAATAATAATAATGTTGAGGGGTTCACCCTTTTTTACACAAATGGACTCACCCAGTATATACATCTACTACGGCTACGGGAAGACCAGAGAGAGCAAGACCAAGGAGTCGAGTCCAGAGTGACAGAGTAAAAGGTTGTAGGTAACCGGAAGAGTGAGGGGTGAGGTAACAGCGTTGTAGGAGTCACAGTGAGCGAACACGTAGACTCAGTAAGAAGTCATACAGCGATACTTCAATACCAAAGACTGTATAGATATTTTGCTACTAACCCGTATTCTTGGAACTACTAACCTGCTTTACCAGTTTGTATTATTACGTTAATACATTATTTTCCTATATTCATTCCTGGCGTTTGTTATTTATTGGCACCGGATTTCATCCCGGAATCCACAATAAATAATAATAACAGGTATTATTTAGTTGTGT